GAGCCGGATAAAACATGATGAATAGATATTTGTGACTACCTAAGAATACAATAGGGAAAAGGGGGTATAACAAAACAAGAAGTGTACACACACACAACAACAACAACAAAACGAGAGACGAGACTAGACAAGACGGGAGAAAAGAGAAAATATGAGAAATAATAGAAGACTACAGCACATCCACAATAGGTACAGCACACAACGGGCACAAGACAACAGGGGGAGGGAATAAGAGGTTGACAATCTGAAAATATTCAGTTAGACACATATTAATATCAAGAAGAAAATTTACATTTATAGTAATACATAATATATCTTGGCACCATAATAACTACAAAAATGAACTACTCTATGAGTCTCAGTATTTATTGAGAAGATAAACCTTAAGTTTACACTTAAATGAAGAGAGACTAACAGATTGCTTAACGCTAGAGCCTAGAGAGTTCCAAAATTTAGGTCCAGTAAAAACCAAAGTATTAAAAGTTAACTTTGTCCTTACTTGGGGTAAGTGAAACGCAGAGGCATTTCGTGTAGCATGGTTATGAACTTGTCTATTTTTCTTAAAAATGCTGACTAGAGCCTGTGGAAGGACACCAGAATCGAAGTCGTACATTAAAGAACCCAGTTGAAGGTGATAAATATTTTGCACCTTTAAAATTCTATGCGTATAAAAAAGCGGATTAGTGTGCGTTCTGACTCAGTTCAAGTTGATATATTCCCTAAAGTTGATGTGGGTGGGTGGGGGGCTACGATTAGCATGCATATTTTACATTCATATTTTGTAATGGGTACTATTAATAGGTATGCAAGATTATATGTTTTGCCTGATTAAACTGTTTTAATGTAGAAAATATAAGTGTTAAAACTCTGCATAAATCTATCTTTATCTGCTAAAAGAGAAAGAATAATTAATGGAAGCTTCAGGAAAAAAAATCTGTCTTTAAAAAAGAATAGGCGTATATATAAGACAAACAAAAATAGAAAATAACTGTCTTCAAAGATAAATGGTTATATTTTGTATTTTTCGTTTGTTTTGAAATGCCTTTCATAAAAGTGCTCTTGTAGGAAAGCATGCTGAAATAATGTACAAATTTTAGATATTGAATGAAACAATCATACGATTATCAATGTTTTGAGAGAGTAAAGTTCTGTATTCATATACACATGCATTTATTACACTCATGACCAATTCATGCTTACATCAAAAGCAATTGCCTTTAAAAAAAAATAGAATAGTAAAAATTTTAATAAAAAACACACATCAACCACCATACTCACAAAAGCTAAGACATTGATCAAATACAAGTTATCGCCACTAATAAGGTATTTTTGTTTTACTTTCTTTATTACACAAGACAAAGTAATCTTCACATTTTTACTGTACATTGCTATCAAAGTCTATACATACTTACTATATACATGTATAAGTACATAACTAAGGCAAATGGAAAATAACCAGTTCATATTGAAGCCAGGTGATCCAAGTTAAATGACAACATGCATCAGCAAACATTAAATTATGAAATCATCGACCAGTTAATTTCTCATTACATTTCATTTGGTATACAAGGAAGATAAGTTGAAAGAATACTTTTATTCTGGTCATCTGCAACAAAATTATGTCCAAAATCAGATGTACAAAGTACTTTCTTTGTAATAGACTCCACCAACATCAATTAACATTCCTTTAACTGTTAAAAGGTCTGATTAAGAAAAGTTGCAAAAATAGAGCAAGTATTTCTCTTTGCACATACTTTATGTTGTTATTTTTAATGAAAAAGTCAAAGTAAACATAAAATGATAGATAACTGTGGTTTGGCTGACAATCTGTATGGAAATTTTGGTTATGTTTGAAAGAAGGATCGTGATTGAAAATAACATTGCATGGTAGGCAATGGCAAAAATTATAATACAGGGTTTTTTTGAAGGGTTGTTTCAAACTTTGTCAATTAAAAACCAACTGAACAAATATGCTGGGTTTGTTCAACTAATTCTAATTATGAGCTCTGTACATGGATGAGCTACGAATGTTAATTGATCAAATGTAAACAAATGAAATTAAAAGATGTGAACGGGAAATTCTTCTATCATACCATCATGTAAGTAGTTTGAAGATTAGAATAATGAAAAAAATTGCACAGAGACTTCTCTGATTTTAACTCTCCTGGAATGACTTCTCCCCCTATAGTATATAGAAACAAGGGATTAACTTAGTCAGGAGTTCCTACTACGTACTTCCATTTTATGACAAGAAAAGGACGGTGAAATAGTCTATACTTTCAAGTTGTGTCATTAGGAAGAAAGAAATAGCTTGGAATCAAGGCAAATGCAATCACAAACCCATGCAAAATGCAATAAATAAAATATAATTCTGAAGAAAAATTATTATTAAAAAAAAAATCATAACATGAAAGAGATTTATTTCAACACAACTGTGCCAACAGAACTGCTCATCCATGAAAACATAACAGTACTCATACCTAATCAGTTGGATCTTTGAAATTCCAATGAAACAAGCAAACATTTCTTATCTTGTAAAGTATAAAAACACAGAAGGAAAAAAGAGATTAATGACATATTAACATAAATACATTTGCCTCCAACTAAATAAACAGACTTAATACACAAATATGTCTGGGTATCATTAACCATTTCAGAGTACCGGTAGCTTTGACACAAATTATCTCATCAGCATTATGGAGAGCAAAACAAACACCACGTGAGGCAATAAAATATATCACATGATATTTTTCAATTTTGTTTCTTTTGGCTTGTGATATAAGCCCCATGTCGACTGGTGAGTTAAGTGTTCTACAATACTATATATGCCTGTCAAGTTCATCCTTTGAAGATAACTATCGACTCTGGCATGTAAGATACAAAACATTAAAGAATTTGAAAAGCTATAGCAACAATTGAAAAGTTTGTGACACCACAGGGAACAATTACAATGCAATATCACAATGAAGTTCAGGCACAGGTTTAAACTGAGCTCCAGGCAAATTCTCTTCAATCATCCCAAATATCACATGGACAACAGGTTTAATATATCTTGTCAGGGACAGATCGCCTCAAATAAAGATCTGTATTCAGTGCAAAGAATCCCAGCCTTGAGGCTATTTAGAATGGAACCATATTATGGCCACTTGTCATGGTCATGTGACGGTCATGTGCAGGACACAGGATCTGGCCTTGGCATTGAACCCTTTTAGTAGTAGAGTGTTCAGGTAGGAGGGGGCAGCCAGACCAAAAGGTGTTATATTGTCTCTCCCCCCCCCCCCACATAGATCCTCCATCTTCACTACAGCCCCATTAATTTTGCATCGTCCTGTTCCAGTCCGAAGCAGTTTAGACAGGACCTGGGACCCATTTCACAAAGCATTTTTTCAACGACAAATCAGTTACAAATCGGTTGACAACCAATCAGACGCAAGGATTTCAGTAGCTTATAACAAAAACTGTCATTTGTCACTGATGATGAGTTTTGTGAAATGCCCCCCCCCCCCCCCCCCCCCCTGATGGGCCACGCATGCCTCACTTGAACCAGATGGCAGTGATTTATCAATGCAAAGTGAAAGAGAAATCTACATAACCACATTGTAAAAGAGGAAAAAGAAATCTTGGGCTTATACCAGCTTAACATGAACTAGGAAGAAGTTGGCATCAGACCAGACAATAATTGAAACCTAACTTGATGTTATAATAATGTGCTGGTCTTCTATGAGCTGTGCATAAAACTCAGGAAGGTGCATTAAAGTCTTGATAATTATGGAAAAACATTCTACAGAGTTAAACATGAACAAGAATCCAGGCAGGCAGGCTGCAACATTTTCTGTCACATCACTGCAAAGATCAGATAGTTCTGAATATTTGTGAACAAAATATCCTTGAAAAGGGTATCATTAAAAGTTTATTATTGGAATAGGGGGGGGGGGGAGATATATAATTATGTGTCTGACTTGGCAAGGCTGAGAGAGAGAGAGGGAGGGAGAGAGGGAGGGAGGGAGGGAGGGAGGGAGGGAGGGAGGGATCAAGGGAGGGAGGGAGGCAGGGAGACAGAAAGAGAAAGAAAGAGAGAGAGAAATAATAAATCAAAGATAAAATAATCTTTCTGTTAATCTTTCAGGTCAATAAGGAGAGACAAACGTAAGTAGATCAAGGACAACATGATACATGTTCATTTGATACATACATTGTACTATGTTCATGTGATACATACATTGTATTATGTTTTTTATATGTGTGTCTGTACTGTTACCGTGACCCTATAACAAGCGTATGTTTTCAGGGGGTTTTATCCCCTTCCTCCATTGTAGTTATATATTCCATTTTTTTCCGTTGAGTATTAGAAGGGAATAAAGATTTCTAAATCTCTAATCTTGATTTGTTAATTTTGTTTACATACCAAACTAGAAAACATTAATGTCAGAGTCCAGTATAGGGCATAATATCTTCCCTCACATGTACATACATGTGACATTTGGTAAAACATGCAACATGTCAGTTGGTTACACAAATGTGACAAGCGATATGCTTGAATGACTACAGAGACATCACAAGGGCAGCTGGGCAGAGATGGTGAGATAGTTCCATGAATGGACTGCAGTATCTCTAATCCTCTATAAGCTGTAGGTTGAGAAAAGAATGGCCAAAACCCAAATAAAAGAAATCCTTCAAGTGATGATGCATATACACTATGAACATGACTGACAAAGAAAGCGGACAAAATATACAGTTCCTCAGGTAGACAAAGGAACATCCCTTCGACTGCTATTATGTAAAAAATGTGTAGAACAGGTGTCACATGCATATTCACTTTTTACATAATAGCAGTGAAGGGATGTTCCTTTGTCTACCTGAGAAACTGTATATTTTGTCCGCTTTCTTTGTCAGTCATGTTCATAGTGATAACTCCTATCACACACACATACCTGTGACATTTAGTAAAAAAACAAAACAACAACACCATGCTTGAATGACCACAGACACATCATTTGGGGGGAGGGGGGGGGGGGATATAAAGGCTTCCGGGCGACTCCAACAGAAACCATAAGAGACCAACATAATTTGTCTAATGGTCTCTATTGGTCTCTATGGGATTTTCGACCTGGGCAGGAAGAAAAATCAACAAAGGTATACTTTCATAAACATTACCAGAGAGAATAGTGTTCTATGCAACTTCATTCCACTGTAGCTAGGAGATATAACCTTGGATGCCATTTTCTTCTAAAGAGGTTTGCATTACAGGGGCATTCTCCTAACATGTGACCTCCACATAATTGCTTGAATGAATAGGACTGGACAAATCAAAGAAAGAAGTCTTATCACGGTTGAGAAGTTTCACAAAGGACCATTCAAAGATGGTGATCTACATTCTTCCATAAGACATACAAAGGATATAGGCATGACTGAATGATAATAAAAGGCCTTCTGTGACTCACAGAAAAGAGCACTCAAGAGATGATGATAATTGGACTGGGTCTTATCGTTACTTTGGAGATTTCTTTTCTTTCTTTGGAGTGGAGGGGGGGGGGGGAGGGGGGGGGGGGGGGGTAATGCTGGTCAAGACTATCCCATATTTCATGTTAAAACTCTAGCTGGGTTTTTATCTTTTATTCTGAAACAACTTCATAAATCTAGTCAACAACTATATGCATACAATCTGAATCCTAACTATTAATAATGCAACAAACTTGAAACACATGAATTAAAAATAGTTCATCTCTGGGCACTCAGGGAAGAAGTATTACATGAGTTTTAATGCAGGACAAAAACTGCTGATTAGAGCACAATTTGCAAAGTCATGAAAAAGAAAAAAACAAATATGATGTACAAAAAGGCACTCACTTTCTTAGTAGGCACTCAGTTCACACACTTTCGCTTTTCCAAACCATTTTCGGAAGATAACGGATACAATAGATATGTATAGATACAATAGACATCAACTGCTCCGTTGTGTCTTGTCAAATTACTTTTACTGTTTGTTTTTAAAGAACCAAAACTTTGACAGAGCTTATAATTTCATTCTCACCACTCCACTGCGCAATAATCTAGATAATTAATTGACCCACACACACTGGACTCCATGTAAGATTTGTGCTTTCTATTACATCAGGAGACATTTTGAATTAAGTTATCAAAGGGTAATTTCTGAAACATCACTTATTGTCTCCCCTCCATGCACCTCTCCTTCACTGGCACTCTCCTCTTCCTTCTCATCTAACCCAGCAATAGAGGGCAGTGTAACCTGAAATGACCTCTGTGTCATACGCTCCTCCCTCCCTCTCATAGCCACCCCAACCTCCAGCGAATCTTCCGAAAACATCCCACTTGTCGCAAGGAGACTTGAACCCCTCGGCCCAGCACCGGAAGCGTTTAATCCCGTGACCGAATTATTAGTCTGGCCGAGAAATTGTGAACTCTCGAAGTCACTGGTAGCTCCACCCAACCCTCCTTCTGATTGGCTGAAGGTTTGGCTGAGGTATCCTGATTGGAGGTAAGCATCCATGTTCATAGCGTCTGGTGTCATGGTATGTCTGCCTGGATCACTGACCATGGAGGAGTATAAACCTGATCAAGTGATGAACAACAGAACAAGAATAAAGTTTCTCGAAAAAAAAGGGTAATTCATTACACAACAGTATACAAAAATAGTCAGCATTGTACCTACAACATCACTGTGTTATGATGAAGTTGCCAATTGGTCTTTAGCTATTTGTCATATTTGTATTATTTAAAGATTCATGACTTATTTAATTACTTGTTTGATTTGCCTTGAATCTTTTGATATATGTGCTCTGCTTTTTATAATAAGAACATATATAGGGGCTGTCCCTTTTTCTTTAAGCTAGAATACAAAGGATAGATTAAGGATGTGTTCTGATACACTAAATGTCCATGCATTGACAAAGAATGACGATAGATTATCTTCTTACTTGCTGGTAGTGGTCTATCTATGAGTGTACCTCCAGCAGTCATATCAGCCTCTGCCAAGTCTTCTTCTTCCTCCACTTCCTCATCCTCTATCTGTTCTGGAGTCCTCTGCCTTCCAACCTGAATCACCCTGGCTACCGGACTCGGTTCTGGAGTCCTTTGCCTTCCAACCTGAATGACCCTGGCTACCGGACTCGGTGCCACCATCAGCTGGGAGGCACTTGCCTTTGGAGAGATGTTTTGATTAGAGGGTGTATCATCAGTACCCTTCTTCACAGCATCTTCCCCCTCCTCTCCATTGCTCCCAACTTCACCAAGGGATCTTCTGTGGTCCAAACCCGCCTCGGGAGGCTTCGAGTGGTAGGCCTCCTGGTAGAGTAGACGCTCGGCCGGTGGCATGAGACTTGGGCGTTGCCCCTCGCTCACCTCCCCCACGCTGCTGCTGCTTGCGCTGCTGATGCTGTGTGGTGAAGAAGCAGCTGTGGGATGCATTCCTGCAGGGGGTATGTGGCCAGGATGAGGGACACCAGAGGGCGCCTGGCGAAGACGAGACAGGAGGGCTACGACTGGATCTCTGGTGAGCTTCAGACGGCTAGGGTCCACTTCACCTTCACTCCTGGGTTCCTCCTTAGAAGATAAACATTCAAAATATAAAATGAGTGTTAAGGCTTCTCCTGCAATGTACACAGTATATCAAGTGCATCAGTACAAACAATCATATTTGGATTACTTTTATTCCATTTAAAGCCCGTCGGCACTAGTTTGGCCAGGAGGGATTAGACCTCCCTGTGTGGTCATTGACAGGTGGTTATCTCATCAAATCAGCTCTCAATTAACATAAGAAAAAGGGGACCATGGGGGAGCAAGGGTACCGCTTAGGCACTGTTTGCTATATAGAGGGCGCAAAGTAGTTACAAGCAGTGCAGTCCCACATTAAGGATCACATGACAGATGGATGGAGGATTGATGGAATTACAAAATAAAAATACAACAATATTTGATGGATTAAGCAGGGATTTAAAAAAAGAGCCATTACAGAAAAGATGTAAGACAAGAAGGGAGGTCAAAGGTCAAAGAGAGATATAGGGAGATATAGAGGATGTCAAAGTAGAGAGCAGAAGTAAGAAGAAGAAATGCTGAATGTATACCTGATCTTTGTCAGGGTCTGTTGGTCCTTTGACAGTGCTGGTTGTACTGCTTGGTAAACTCTCATCAAAGGCCGCCATCTCTGAAACACCTTTCAGATTGGAAGAAGATAACAAATCACAGAAATTAGACTAATGCATTGAAGTAAAAAAAAAAAAGGAAATACTGATTCTATCACAAACTAATTTACCATTAGAAAGCAAGCAAGAAGGAACGGGAAAAATCAAAGAATAAGCATGTGCCAAACAGTAAATTTAACCTTGAAGATTAAACCTGACGGATACCGGCGCTATATAAATAACCTTATTATAATTATTATTATAACAAGTTTGGAACATTGAACAAAACAATACTTTCCATTCTATACTGAAAAGCAAGACCCCAGCAAGGTTAATGAATTAAAACTGATGCTGATGTAACAGCAAAATCACAAGGATACCATACAATATAAAATATTCTAATTTGCATTATTTGACCATATGTCTCACCAAACAAGGTTTCATCTGGTACCCGTCCCTCTTCCCTCTCACTGACCAGCCATTCTCCCTCAGATACCTCCCTCCCTGTAGAATGCGTAATGGTAGAGTCCGGGGGTGTTGACTCAGTAGTGCTGGAGGATGCTACACTGGGTGGAGCAGGGGTGGCAGCCTTGGTAGGGGGCGGTAGAGGGGATAGTGTAGGGGATCGAAGGCGTGGCTCAGGACTGAACAAAGTATATGAGGAAGAAAAAACGAAAATAAATTAGACTTCAAATCATAGCATAGATCCACTATACAGCATTTATTGTTTCTGGTAATATTAATTTGCCAAACGGAACAGTTTTATCCTTTCTTTGACAATTAGCTAAATCTCACTTTAGATGTTTCACTATGAGCAGCTTTTCCAGAATTTAAGCTTATTTCATTTCATAACATTAAAATGTAGTCTGACAAACCGATATAACTTTAAATACTGAAAAATTATAAATTAAAAATTGGAATAGTGCTTATTAACATGCAAAATCTACTTGCCACAATGGAAGGTTACCTCACACACACATACTGTTGTACAGAAAAGAAGCTGGTACTCTTTACTTTACCGGTATGTGTTTACATGAAATGAGATGACACTAAATAGTGGTTGCACTAATTGGCATTGGATCAATTGGCAATGTACTATCATGTCAAGGCCCTTTACATGAACATAGTACAATAAAAGTTCACTTACACACAGTTTCTAGCATTTCATGAAACAAAATCGTCTGTTTGGAGCCAGAAGTGTATTAACTCAATTAATGCCCTTCTGGCTCCAAACTCCAGATATGTTTTGCCCTGATTTTGCCCTGATGGAATTTCAAAGGTCCAGAATCATCCTATCAACCTATTTTAAACACTAAAATGCCAATCATCTATCTGATATGATGTTTGGATACAAAACAAAAATGTATGAAACTGACTACTTTCTATTTCGGGGCAATTAATTCCCAGAATTTTCCTTTAATTGAAGTGTTTTTCTCAAATTTCCTGACTATTCCACGACTTAGACGGAGCTCATTTCCCAGTTTTCACTAATCTCTTCCCTAGATAGCTAGGAAGCTTATAAACCCACCTTGGAGTACGCAATGTAGCCTGGAAGGCATCCTCCTCTGGTTCTGATGCTACCGGACTCCTTGGCTCCGGGGTAGGAGTAGGGGTAACCATGGGCTCGGAGGGTACACCCACCAGGGACGTGGGGGAGGAAGGAGGTGAAGGAACCGGTGTCTGGGGCTCCTCCCCTGGGATTGGGGGTGGTGATTGGGCGTTGATGGGGGGCGGGGTGGTGGGAGGGGTGGTGACGACTTCTGGACCTGGTGCGGCAATGGTGTTTGCTTCTGGTGGAAGGAGGGTGAGAAAGAGGTCTATGTAAGTATCATGAAGAAACCATAGTATCAATGGTTATCAAATCATACTAGAAAGGATAATACATGTATATGAAAAATTAAAGAAAATTTGTCCATAAAACCATATTCTTCCTCTTTCAAAATATAATATTAAGGAATGGACTTGTTGGATAATCTACATTGCAAGCATTTCTTTGTATAGCTTTACTTCAATTAACAAAAACAGAAATGTATTTCATACCAGCTCATTAACATGCATGATCTCAGGAATACCATACTGATGGAAATTCATATATATACATTAAAAAAAAAAAAATCATACCTTGAATTACTTAATTATTGCTGTCCAAAATCTAGTCAACAATCCTGTAGCTGGCAATCATGAAACTAGACAGAGTAGGCAAGCCTGAACTGATTCACTGTTGGGTTATACATGCTAAAGACATTAAAATGCAGAAGGCTTTTTCAGAACCTAGACAATCGTGCAGTAATTGGTCTTTAACAAATACAACAAGTTCATCCCTCTTTCCTTACCTTGGTTAGAATTATCTGAATCTTTCATCAGATCTTTCCAGCTCTCTGTCTCCGACTCGGCTCCTCCTGATGCTCCCTCCCCCATCTCACTGGCCTCTGGGGTAGGGATGCGATCCCTAGGGGTGGGGGAAGGCTCTCTGGACAGGGCTACAAGGGGCGAGGCTGGTGGAGTAGGCTCAGGGGTGGGGATGGGTGAATGCTGGCCCATCTGCAAGTACACACAAAAATAATATGACAAGGATATACCTTTATAATAATAATAATAATATAATATCATAATATGCCATGTTTACCCTGAGTAGCCTCATCAGTATTAATATTCTTCTACTTGGGGACCCCTGCCATTATATTATTACCCGGGTGTATGTGCTTGGATGGAATGTATGTGCTACAAACGTTCAGATCATATGTAGAGGCCTTCTCATCAAACTTTGTTTGTTGGTATGAAGATAACAGTCGCTTCCATTTGGATACAATCATCATTAAAAAAAACTTCGGAATAGTACAAAACACAAGCAGCTCCATTTCGAAACCTTAACCTACCTCATAAGGGAAACCTTGCTATAGATTTATTCACTTCACTTACGATCAAGGGTGCAAATTCTTGCCTAGCACATTTATCTTTAGATAAAAAAAAAATTTTGTTCAGTTTTCTCTCTTGATAGTGGTATTAAATGGGTATCTGGAAGGAAAAAAATATTTTTGACCAATGGAATATTATATATGGCAGCTTGGCTAAAGCATGAATAAAAATATTGGAGGCCCAGAATCATACCTTATGGCAACGGAAATGAGCACTAGCTACCCAAGGAACCATTACAATCACCATCACTACACTATCTTTTAAAGCCTGTCTGTACTAGTTTGGCCAGGGGGATTAGACCTCTCTGCAAGGTCACTGACAGGTGGTTATCTCATCAAATCAGCTCTCAATTAACACAAGAAAAGAGGATCATGGGGGACCAATGGGCACCGATTAGGCATTGTTTGCTATTTAGAGGGCACAAGTAGCTATAAGTAGTGCAGTGGGGTTTTAATACATGTGAAAGTTGCATTATCTATACTAACAGGCTGTGGTGTGGGCCGTCTGGCATCATGAACAGTTGGCATGGTAACGGATGACCTCTCTCTTTGATGCTGACCCAGGCAGAGGGCGATCTTTTCTTCCAGCACCTGCTGGACAAGACTGTTAACCAGGGTGGGGTTCACCGGTTGTCCGGCATCCACAAAGAACTGCAGACCCCCTCCCCCAAGAGCACTAACTGGACAGCAAGGGTATAGAAAAAATAACATATATGTCACTCAAATTTTCATTGAAAGATTCTTGAAGGTACTAAAAAATGCTTGTAAAAGTAATGTCATTATGTGTGTCACAGTTTGTTGTTAAAGTTATCTAAAGACTCAGGTGTCATTTAAGGAGCTGCTTACACAAACACTCTATATCTTAAAGATTGTATGACCTTTGGGGACAAGATGTGAAAGTCTTTGGATGACCAAAGATGGCATGACGACTACGTCATAATCATTCCAGCTAGAAAATAAATTTATTTGTGCAGTGTATAGACAAGAATTCAAACTAGAATATACTAGAATATACAACAGCCATAATTTGCAACACCTAGAATAATCCCAAATATCCTGCCTCAACCCAAACAATACGGTAGCAGCTCCCAAATGTTTTCATGATAACAAATTTTATTGAAACATAAAAAAAGTTCTAATAGGGTTGATGGAGCCTTATGTATGTCATCAATGACCCTCACAATTTAGAAAGACCCCTAATTCTGTAAAATCAAACATAAAGAAATGCTTCTTTTAGGCAATATAAAATATAAGGAGATTGCTTTAGGAGAAATTAAAATTAAGCTCTGTCTAGCCGTCTCTGTCTATTTTGTCTACCAATATCTCACCGACATGATCAGAGTCTTCTGAGGATGATGGGCTGACAGGCCTGGCACCATGGACGGTGCTTGGCTGCTGAAGTCTCTCTGATTGCCGTAGATGAGTCCCACTGATAAAACGAGACATCAACTCTTGCTCAACCCTTTCACATAACCAACAGAGAACAAATCAAATTATTTAAGAATCATGCATGCTGATCCTTCATGCTTCATCAGATTTTATTGCTGTTGGATTGAAGAATATGCATACTTCTATAAAGAAACACAACATTTTCTAACTTCAATGAAGATTGTAAGAGTAAAAGCCTTTTTAATACCATTGTATGTTACCTATGGTATAGCATTTGATAATCTATTTAGGACTTGGTGAAAATCTGTGTTCAAGGTATTTCAACAGTTTATAGTGGTCTTCCCCTTCCATTTCTTGAAATGGGTATCAAATAAGAAATAATTATTCGAATTCTGCAAGTCATTTATTTCTTGCTAGTCTAAAGCAAGAGTAATAATTTTTAAAGCATAATAGGACATTGTTTCGTATGTGATGAGAGGTAAATGAAATAGTTTACATAATTAGAGTAAAACCTAACATGAAAAGGGCTCAAGGATTTTTTTAAATATTTTTGTTTGTTGTTGTCTTCACAAGCAGATAACCTTTATTTAACAGGTTGCAATTAGTACAGATCTTTAATGAAAAGGGAAGGGTTAAAGAGGCAGGTGACTTTTATAAACCGGAGGATACTAAATCACTTGGGGGAACCCTTACCAGTCAACTGCTCTGGTCTGCAGCATCTCCATCCTTCTGATACCAGCAGCCAGCTCATCTGATGAGGGCTGGATACCACCTGCTGGGTGGTGGTGGTGGGATGGGGGTAGCTGCTGGGGTGGGAAGGGTGGTCCATGGTAGGAGGGTTGCCTAGCTGCCTGCATCCCTTCCATGGAGATACCTGGGATCTCTGGTGATGGGGGCTTTACCTCCTCCTCCTCCTTCTCCTCAGATGGCTGTATAAGCAATCAAAGATGGGGTTATGGAAAGAGATAGATGGCGCTGTTAGCTATTTAGTAAGAAGACGATTTCTAGATTCTGATATCTGCAGTACATTTTTTTTTTCTTCATTGGAAGTCATGCATTTTTCTAGTTGTGAATGTAGATATTCACATTTTTATGTCAATGTTCATGTGAATGATAAGTACGGTAAACCTTTGGGAATTTTGAGGACTAGCAACTGTTTCAACATATGCAATACAACAAAAAAATGGGGCATCTCGTAGACATACTAATCTAAGTAAATATGCTATGCTTACGAAGTTTAAGAAGGGTATATGTAAAAGTACATGCATTATCATTTTTCATTAAGAGATGATTGTACCTGTGTGTTTACCTGATGTGGTGGCTGTGCTCCAGGGGAAACTCTTTCTTGAGGTGATGGGGATGGGGTAGCTGGATTGGAATCAATGTCCACATTGGGTAACCTCTGAACAGGGAAGAAATCAATGCATGTCAAATTAGAATTTTGGAAGATATTTTATAAAACTTTGAAATGTAGTGAGGAAGGTCAGCTTTAAGATATCATTCATTGACATTTGATTAATAAATAATCATAATTCAATTCCTTTGTTAGATAAAAATCATGATGAATAAAAGAGTTTTAAGTGCTTTAAAAAAAGGCATATTTTACAAACTTTACAAGAACACAAGAGAACATATAATTGGACACATACTAATAACATTCTACATTATGGACAATAATGAGGGCTTTTTACGGCTTTGTTTGATGATAATTGCTTTCTGCATTCCATGATGTGTCGTTTTACCTGTACAGTGAGGTCTCTTTTCTCTGGTTCCATCTTATTCTCATCCTCATCTTTGACATCAATCAGGGCCACGTTAGACCCCTCTACCGGTCTAACCGGTGCCCCTCTCCCATTGCTGATGATGGTGACAGGCTGGGACATCCCCACCCCTAACCTTGGCTCCCTGAGGGGTATCGCCATGGGGATGAGCTGGCCGTCTGCTGGGTTGGGGTGCTGGGCGGGGGCGATGACAGGTGCATGACTGGGTCCTGCTGGGTAGGGGCTGAAGTAGTACTGAGGTGCGGAGGTTAGGGGCAGGTGGGTTCCTACTCCTCTGCTCCTGCTCTTGTGTGTCTCTGTTTGCGTTCTGATGGGTCTTTGAATTGGGGCTATTATGTTATATGTTAGAGAGATGAAGAGGAGATGGATAGCAAACCAGTTTCAATAATGGTTGGTGAATTACTGTTCTTCAATTCTCTGTCATAATTAAAAGCCAATACCGTTAGATCAAAGATGAAGTTGTAAGATCTTGAAATGTAACAGTATGCAGCATCAATTAGAAGATGACTACAAGCAGGCTTGTGGTTAGCAAAGTATGTTTTATGGTTTTTGTATTATTGTAAACCTTGCATTTAGTACACTTTTGTGAAAAAGTTTACAAAATGCAATGTAAAGAAAGAGAGGAATATCTAGGGTTCATAACACTAGTTTGAAAGCAAACAAAAAAGAGAAAGGAATCACTACTCTAAGACAAATGGTTGGCAGTACCCAGCATGGTGTGAGATGAGGGGTAGAGACCGGGGGGGGGGGGGGGGGGGGGGGGGGGGGGGGGGGGGTCCACAAAACATGTCTTCAGTGATAAATGACATTTTTTGTTATAAGCTACTGAAATCCTTGCTTCTGATTGGTTATCAGCAGATTTGTTCCTGGTTTTTGTCATTTGTCATTGAAAAAAGGCTTTGTGAAACGGGTCCCAGGGGTGTTGGTGGGATGGAGAGAGGCTTGTACCTTGAACTGGAGAAGCATGATGAGCAGCTATCTTCTTAGTCTTGGTAGGTGTCTGGTTGGCAAAGTGGAGATAGGGGGCATCCCTGAGTGTGGACCTCTGTGACTGAACACGGGTGTGGCCATAGATGTGCTTGAGATAGCGCTCATCATCCTGCCCTCTACCGGTCGGTTTGGAAGTTGGTCTGGGCTAGATAGAGAATAGATCAGACAAAGCTTAGTGGTGCATCATAGAGGTGGCGTAGTGGAGTGGTTTAATCACTTGACTGGAAATGCAAAGGTCATGGGTTCGAGCCCTGGCTTGACACGTATGTCATTGAGCAAGGCATTTTATCTACATTGCTCTTCTCCATCCAGGTGTTAAATAGGTCCTGGTAGTTGGATTTGCATGTGCACGCCCTTAAACAAGGCTACTAGCTGGAATGGTTCCAAGGGAGTGGAGAAGGTGCACCAGAACGTGCAGAATAGTTATTGAATCCAGTGAACGGGTAATAATAATACTGTAGCATTTTGATCAGTTAATGGTAAAGCATTTTATAAGAAACAAGTTTTATTATTTCCTACAGTTGAATGGATCAGACATTAAGGGTAGAATTTGAATTTGACTTACGGTAAGGAACATTTTTTTCCATCTTTGCAAAATCTTGGCAGGACATGTGTACATACCCTGCGGGAGTGACATTGCGGTTGCTGTATCGAATATTGGAATCCTACTTATACAGTGATTTTCCTTTATGAAATTTTAATCTAATTAATTTTGTTAAGGGCGTTTGAGATTTTCAACAAAAAAAGAAATAAAAGATATCAACTAGTCAATTTTGTATGAACAAAACGTGTCTAAGTAAATCTGAATACATTGTGTCATATGGAACATTGATTTGAATAAAAAGTAAATGTTGATGAGAGACCATCAGGCTTAATAAAAAGTAAATAAAAAGTAAATATTATTATTATTATTATTAATAGATGGATTTATTGGACAGCAATATTCCATGAAATCATTTGTGTTCAATCATAAGAAACATACTGGAGATTTTAGGACAGTTGTTCTTTCTTTCAAGTTCTCCTTGTTCCTTTCTGTCGAATCATCCTCTTGCTCCTCCCCTTTCCTAGGTCTGCGTAAACCGGTGTCTATCTTTGCCTGCACCTTCTTCTTGCTCAACTTCCCCAGACCTGGCCCTGCTGATTGCTGGCCAACTGGCTTGCTTGTAGGAGGTTGTTGGCCCTGCTTCAGCTGTTGTTGGTGTGGTCTTTGGGTGATCTTGTCTGGAAGAAGTCTTGTTGGAGGTGAGTGGCGACCACTTGGTTTGTTGATGTGAAGTCTACCTTGTTGTAATTCTCTCTGTGGCAGGCACGCAAAGGCAAAGAAAGACTATAATTTAATTACCGGTACTACAAGTTTTATTTTCCTTGTTAATCACTTAGATACACTTGTCAATTAATTTTATTACGCACTGTATAACTTCTCATCTACTATGATGTATGTAGTTTATGTAGTTTACTTTACATTTACATCAAATAATGTGTGGACCGACTAAAGTTAAAAAGTGATATCCATGACAGATTATTCATTGAGGTCATTGAGGTGGAAATAGAATTCCTAGAGTTGAAATATGCAGTAGCGACTGGCAAAAAAAGTTCTTGATAGTTATGGACCAATTATAATATAATTTATATCATACCTTGATCTCTGTATCAATAGCAGCTATTTGTTCATCAACAGCTTGCTTCATTCTGGCAAAGTCTGATCCATCTCTGCAAATAATGAGGAAAACAATTGCAATGAATTTGACAGAACTGTGACCATAACTGGCATTTTTTCTAATATAATCAAGGGAGATAACAAGAAAGAATTGATCGACAAACATACAAGTAAAACTGTAACTCAAACTTAACAAGGTCTAACGACTACAAAGTTAGGAAAAAAGAGGAAGAGTAGGGAGAGTGAAAGAGAGAAATACAGAGAGGGAAGAGGGGAGGGAGGGGGAGAAGAAGAGAAGGAGAGAAGAGAGATGGAGAGAGAGAGAGAGAGAGAGAGGGAGAGAGAGAGAAAGAGAGAGAGAGAGCGAGCAAGAGAGAAGAGAGGAAAAAACAACAACTGAGAGACAGAAAAAGAGCAACACATACACACAAAGACAAGGCCAAATCAATCAATGATCTCCATCTACCACTTACCCCTCCCTACAGATGCTCTGGATGACTTGATAGAAGTGCTCATCATCTTGTGTCCTAGCAACCGTGTCCAGATTCTCCTCTAGCATCTCCTTGGACGTCTGCACCTTCTTGAGTAGAGCCTGAGCCTCTGCACACAGTGGGGTGAGGACAGGGGCGTTATGCTGGGAGGGGGACATTGTGACATGGGAACAGGGAGGGGGCAGGAATGCTGGCCCTGTCATGTGAACATCTTGAGTTCTCCTCTACAATGAATATAAGAATAGGATCACAGATTTACATTTATTAATGGAGTAACAGTGAGATGTGCTAAATGATGAAATTTGAATATAACATTATAACATTTCTCCTATTAAGTGTTCATTTCCCTAATGAACTAACATAAAATAGAAAAACTACATACTGGAACCAGTAAACAAAATTCTCTCTGAACAATCCACATTATAATTCATTTGGAAGAAAATATCTTTCAACATATCAAAATAGATATATGTATTTGCACCACTCAATTGGATTAAATTAGGGGGCAATTTTATGGAGCTTTAACTTTCTCATTTTCTCTTTGTCACAAAAATAATATGTTTTCACCAAGAAAGCCTTTCTTTGAGTTGAATTATATTTACAAGTACATCAGTTTTGACAGGTATAGCTGATCATGAATTTGCGCATGGCAACTCACAATCACAGATAAGTTTCTGATTCTTATTCAATCCTCAGCAGATGTAATAATATAGTTACCAGATAATCATCCAGAGGTGCTGGTTCCAGCCAAGCTTGTTTTCTCCTGTCCATATCCCTCTCTGCTTCCTACAAAACCATTAACAGATTTATACATATTCATTAATACATGGAAATGTTTAGTGCTCTTTGATTTTTTTTTTATAAGGACATTATCGTGAAAATTATCCTGTACAAGATAAATGTTTTCATAAACGAATAATATGGCATAACAAGAATGTTTTTTACACAGATTGGTTTAGTTGTGGAATAATTTATCTAAAGGACCACTTTGAAGAAGGAATTTATTTTGTCTGTTAAAGACCTGTCAGTATGATGACTTGAAACAAGGAAAAGCAAGCAAAATCTTTTACTCAATTATACTAAATTGAAGAAAGCTATTTCAAAAATATAGTTCAGTGATTTTCACTCTAGACAAGTAGATCCTATTCACTCTCTAGCATTTATTGAATATGAAAAGAACAAATTTGTCTCTGATTATATCAAACATGTTGTGGAGTACGCTTTTAATATTGATTTTGCATGATATCTCTCGGGATGTTGCATCTGGCTATCACCTTGAGCCTATAAAACAACTATTCCTCTCATAGCAGTCATTATATCTATACTATCTTATCTTTTACCTGTCTGAGCTTCTTGGATATTTCCTTGTAATGCCTGTCTGGTGATGCTTCTTGAAGAGTGTTTCTTTTTCTGCCTTCTTCCTTCAATCCACCAGTCTGTTCAAGAAAATCAGAAAATAGAAAGAAATACAGATGCAATGAAGAAGTTCTCTTACCCACACTCTCTACCATCTCTCCTTTATCATCTTGCATTCCATTGTATCTTCTCTATCACCCTTCACCTCAACTGTACATGTACATCCCATTGCAGTTCATATAGAAACAAAGAGAGAAAGAGAGAAAGAGAAATAGAAAGAGAAAGAGAGGAAGAGAAAGAGAAAGAGAAAGAGAGAGAGAGAGAGAGAGAGAAAGAGAAAGAGAGAAAGAGAAATAGAAAGAGAAAGAGAGGAAGAGAAAGAGAAAGAGAGGAAGAGAAAGAGAAAGAGAAAGAGAGAGAGAGAGAGAGAGAAAGAGAGGGAGGGGGTAAATGAAATATATAATATAGGAATTAAAAGAAAGAGATGTAGGCCTATGCAGATAAGTACTAACCTGTATTGTTTGTTTGACTTGTTGGTTGAGTTCTCCAAGTTGTCTGGCTATTCTCTGTGCTCTCTTTACAGTAGGGCTGGTAGAACCTACAGATTGATCAGACTCATTAGTGGGCCTGCATAAAAGATAACAAAGTATTCAAAATATTATTGTCATCATGAATTTATGTGTATTTTTGGGGTTTTGTTTATATATTTGATTCCCTATTAAGTCACCTATCACTGAAAGGAAAATAATAAGTGAAAATAATAAGCAAAAGTAAATCTTAGACATATCCTGAATCTAAGTCATTTAACTATCAAGCTAATCTACTCATCTAAAAATCTCTATTCAGAGAATAAACCTTACTTATCAAGTAATCATAATCATAATCATTACAAAAAAATAGTACTTAAAACTGAAAATGAGTTCTCAGAATGCATTGCAACTTTGAACTCCATATACGATAGTTCCTCAGCTCAAAATCATCAACAGCACCCTCTCTTGACGAGCAGAAATATCTCTCAAATCCATCTGCTCTTCCTTCTGCATTTTAAATGATATCATTTCAAACATCCCTTCAACAATCTTTTAATCAGTAGCATTACAGAATTAAGAATTCTTGTATTAAAAAAAAGGATATTTCCTCTTTTCTCTTAAATATGAGGGAGAGACCTATTCATGTGGAGAAAATAATAATTGGAGAAAAATTCAGCATTTCAGCATTTTATTGCATATCTCGATCCAGGTTGAATGAAGTGTTGGAGTGTATTGCATTGAGCGACTGATCAATACGAATGATATCATATGGTCAGCTCACAAGCTCTGATACCAGTTGTGCCTTTTACCCTGGAAACCTCCTCAGTAACATTTAAGTAATGGATTTATGTTTTGCCTTCATAACATTTGTATGATTTTTATAAGTACATTAATTATAGATATTTAATGAAATGTATGTTTGAGTGCTTTTACCTCATCAAAGTTGACATGGAATGAGTTGAGCGTATAAAGCTCTTAGCTTCATACAAGATATTTCCATTTAAAAAAAACAATATTGAGATTTGATCATGATACTTTTTGTTTATGTACTCTTTTTCCCCCTTTTTCCTTGCTCACTCTTTTTTTCTCATGTAATAATTTGTTTGTATTTTGTGTATTTCTTAATTATTTCTTTATGTGCTGTTGTTGTTATTGCACTTGTTTTTTTTCTACTAATGTTATTTGTTACAGACTGAAAAACAGCCTTGCAGCCCAAAGCAATTTTGTTCTACACCATATTAAAGAAGATATAAAAAAAAAACTAAAAAAAAAACTAGAGAGTTCATGAGAACAAGGTTGATCCTCTAGGCATTTATCAGTGTTAGAGAAACAACAAGTAAAACACAAGGAGCAAAGTAAAAGAAGTGGGTGAGACACTTATCATATGAAGCCAATTGGAACACCACATCCATTAAAAGGGTCGATTTAAAAAGAAGGAGAGAGAGAGAGAGTTAAGATTAACCTGATAACAAGTTTGACTGGAATAATGTTACAAAACCTTTTGAATGCTATTACAAGTTTTTGAAAACATATTTTTTCATTTGAATAGGGGAAAAGCTGGAAGTGCATATTGCTTCTTCCTTTTTAATAAAAAAAACAAAACAACTAATACCCCATACTCATACACTCTAAGAACGTCATGGAGTGCAGAGATTTTTTTTTTTTTTTGGGGGGGGGGCTGGCAAAAGTAAGAAACATTTTTTTGCTCTTGAGGGCTCTTCAAGACTTGCTCAGGGGGTGTAAGTATGGGAAGGGGTAGTAGTTTAAAAAATGCTCCTGAACAAAACACTTTTTTTCAAAAATATAACACTGGTCTATGGGGGTGGGTGGAGTATTTCTTAATGGAAAGGGGCACATGCCTCCTGTAACCCTCCAACCACCACTGCCATTGCAAAGTTCATTATTCACAATTCAACATCCCTCCAAATACAAAACACACTACATAATCATCTGTCCTATCTTTTCATCAGTAATAACATCATACCCTTACTGGTGAGGGAGATACATGCCTACTGTGACCCCCCCCCCCCCTCCTCAAAATCCACCACTTTGCAAAGTTCAGTACTCTCAACTCGATACTCTTCCAAAGACAAGAACATACTTCACAATAATCTGTCCTCTTCATGTCTTTTTTGTATGTATGTCTCCAGGAAATCTAGCCTCGATGACAGCCATGCAGCTTGCGCGCAGAAACGGGGACAGAGTACGTTGTTTAATGACATAATTTCTGCATAATGCATGAGGATGAGGAGACCCGTCGTCGGCTCGAAGGATGCTTTATCTTGTCAATGGAGAATAGCAATGAGCGATTGGAGGATTTAATCAGGTTCAAATAGAATGAATGGTGAAGAGATAATCCTCAGGGAAGGAAAGAAGATCTAGAGAAGTTATGAAATTGATTTGTTTCTCCGATGACACGTGTAACTGAATTCATTTCAAGTCTTCAACTCTGTGGTAATTAGCTACGACATTCTTTCAAGTGAAAATAAAAATGAAGAGCTTTTGATGGATAGCACTATGCATCGCCAGTATACCCATGAGGGCACTGAGAAATTTCACTGCCAGTAAAAATGTTGAATCTGATTCAATTCCCAAGAGAAATATCAGAGTTAGTATCTTGATTGAACTGAGATTTTGAACATAGAGGATAATAATGAGAAAGAAACAAGAAGAGTAAAGGGTACCAAATGTATGATAGACAAAAATTGAATGCATTCATATCAAACACAGCAAACAACAACAAGTTATTTACATATTTCTTCCTGTCTTGATCTCTTTTTTAAGCAAAGAATAATTCACAAGCAATCTATATCTCATCACATCTTCCTTTTCAATCATAGCATTTGTTGTACAAAACTTATCCAGTTTCTCTCAATTTCAATGTGTTTGTAAATATATCATATTAATACATGTATACTTATACATTTCATCCTTCTACTTTCAAGGAAGATATAGCATTAGTATTATTTTCAAAGTTGAGGAATCTATGAAGAAAAAAAAAACACTTTTCTGAAACTCAAGCTTCTGAAATTGACAACTTTCCAAGAGAGAAATGTAAACCTCCAAAAGCGATTCTTCACAAAGGTATGATATGATTTGGGTCAAGTAGGAATACATCCTGAGATAGATTGATGGATTCTGAATAAACAGGATGAGGGAATCAATTCACAAAGAAAGTGGTCAAATATATTGCTGCATGTTTGAGGAAGTTGTTGTTAAATAACATTTCTAAATCAATCCAGCATATTTCTGA